CTGGTATATAGACAATTATAAAAGGCAGTCATTTTTATTTTTAAAAAGGTCAAACAAATCTCGGACTTAAAGTTCTTTAGATATTTGTGATATTTCTGAAGAACAGCTGCTGCAGTCCTTTGCTTCTATTCATTAATCCTCCTTTTAAGATTGTTGCCATATAGAAGTTAATTTGAGCTTTGCCATCCAATTGAACACCAACAGGATTTGAGCTGTGAGCTTATCAGGCTATATGAGTTAAGCAGGGTCAAGTCTGAACGAGTCTTACAGAGTGAGCTTAGCAGAAACACCAGTAGAGGATCGAGTGTCTGGATGCTTTGGATTTCTTTGAAAACACAGATTTAGGCCTGATGGTAATATTAGTAGTCTTTCAGCTGTCAGAGGCAGATAAAAACAAAAAAACCCAAACCCTGCTATCAATTTGTCCCTAAAGAATTTCATTTGGTAAGAATGTTTTGATTTAGCAGGTAACATCAGAGCCCAGAATAGTATAAATAGGCTGCCATTGTAGCAAAAGCCAGATGTCTGGTCTAGATAAATGAGTAACAATATAATGACTCTGTAAAGAAAAATGACTCTGATTGATCAATACATGTCTGTGTGTCTACAAAATGGTCAGCACAATCAGCGGTCTGCCATTCTCCTGTCTGTTACATTTAGTCATACTAACTTTCTCGCCACAGACATCTTGCTGCAGTCTTCTTCCAATTAGTTATTTCCTTGAACACTTGATATTATTTCTACCACCCCACACTCTTTCCCTTCGTTCTGCAGTCTCTACCTTCATTGGGGAATAGTGATATTTCAGGTACTGTTAGATAGCAGTCCCCATAGGAACAAACCACCACAGCCAATGATGAGGGATAAACGGCAGTTGCAGGGCAAGGACATTGGACAGCAAACCAGTTCAAATTATTTAATTTACACCAGGTCTTCTGTCTCCTCATTCCTGTCCCATTGTCATCTTTGCCTGCTGGTCCATCTCACACAAGATAAACACAATCGAAACAGCAAAAGAGGCAAGGCTGATGAGACAACTAAAACACAGAAGTGAGCCAGTCCTGCCAGCTGATTGACACCTGCAATCGCTCAAGGATGCAATCCTCTGCACATTTGCGTGTGAAACATCTTCACTGAACTCAGAGGAGGTTATTTCCAAATAACTATGCTTAGGATTGGCTTCAAAGAATCTTGCAATTGTACATATTGTGTTTATGAGCAAAAAATAGGTGAGGCAAGAAAATACCTGTTGAATACAAAAGCCCATTTATATATTAAAGAAATAGATCACATTTATGAAGCTTATATGTGGTTGTTGATTTTGTTTTGATAGTTTTTACAGCCTAGTCAGTTAGCAAAAGTAAAAGCAGCAAACCCAAAAATTAGGTTAAAATTGGAGGCTATTTATACATCATTAGAACAGCATTGTGAGTGTAGCACATAACTTTTATTTTTCAAAGGAGCAAAATGGTAATAATCACAGTGCCTGTTGCAGTTATGAATGGAGAAGAGAGAAAAAAAGATTTATAATACTTTCAACAAAAATATTTATCTTGACAAGCTTGATGTCAGAAAAAGAACAGAGTCCTTTTCTGCTTACATCTGGAGGCAGCAGCCTCATGTGAGACAAATTGCTTTGAAAATAAATCATATCCTGTGTAAATTGGTTTATTTATCTAAGAAGCCATTGTAGTTTATGTTAAGCAAATTGATCTCAAAAGACCAGCTTTTAAAAATTGTCTTATTTCACACCCTGCAACATATTTGAAGCTCCTACCTTATTTCCGTAGAAGATGAAAATTTGTAACTGTCACATCCTGCCCTAGGACTGGTTTCAACTAAAAGAAATAAAATTTGCAGTTTAGTATATAACTTTCCCCTAACTTCCCAGAACACTTCACATACACTGTCACCTTTGACCACTGGCCATGCTGTCAAGGGCTGCTAGGATCTGCAATCCAAGATGGGGAGGAAGGTGGGGGGGGGAGAGTGAGAGATAGAGAAGTTGCCTCAGAGGAGATTTTTATGGTAGCCACAAATGCTGTACTCTAAAACAGTGGTCCCCAACCTTTTCCAACCCGCGAAGGGGTTAGGGGGTCGGGCTCACAGGTGGGTGGGGCATGCTTACGGGTGGGCGAGGCACCCGTGGGTGCAGGTGGGCGGGCCGTTCATGTGGGTGGGCATGCGGGGGGGAGTGTGTCATGGGTGGGCGAGGCACCCATGGGTGCAGGTGGGCGGGCCATTCATGTGGGTGGGAATGCGGGGGAGTGGGGGGGGAGATCTGTCTCTGCCAAGGCCATGGACTGGCACCGGGCTGCAGAACAGGGGTTGGGGACCCCTACTCTGAAACACATCAGCTGTCTACAGACAGCACATTCAGGGAAGGGCACCACCCCCGATTCCTTCAGCAGTAGTGACTCTGTCACCTCTGGGTAGCTAAACTGCTTTCTTTGGTTTTTTTGTCCGTGGCACTATATTGTGCCTTGAGGAAAGGTTGGTAATGAACGCTGCTTGCAACAATTACTGGATGGCATAGAGGATAGTAGCTCTGATATTCCTAGTTCAAGCTGTTCTGTACTTCAAATAGAGGCCCACTACAGGTGCTTGAGTAACAGCTGTAGCTGTATTAACTAGTTGATAAATGAATAGTAAGAAGTAAGAGGATTACAGCAACAGTAACAATAACAAGATGATGATGATGATGATGATGATGATGATGATGATGATGATGATGATGATATTGACAGTGATCATGATGAGGGTGATTATAATGATGACTATTTCTGCCCATCAGACACACAAAGCATTGTGCAGGAATAAACTCTTAAACCTAGAAATCTGGATTAAAGCCATTAACACTGATTGAGGATAGGGAGTGGAATAGTTCATGCCCTTTATCTGTAAATAATAATCCTCCTCTGTCTGGAGAGAGACCACTATTGTGCACAAGCTAAAACTTTGGAAGTAGATTTTTTTGAGTTTTTTTTTTCTATTGCAAGAGTTCAGTCTGGATGTAAAGATAATGCGTAGTTATAAAAAAAATTCTGAAATTGTCAAAGGGTATCAACTTCTTTAAGAGATATCAGTGAGTGCAAAGCACTCCTAGTGATCACTGTCCTCTCAGGTTTATGATCACACAGGAGGGCCATCACTATGTTCCGAGGTCCAGCTGTGCCACGACAGAAGAAAAATATACGTAGCTAAGGTTCTGCATTGCTTGACTGTAATTATGTTGCTCAGTGTAGCAAGTCACAAATAGAGGGAGCCCATTGAATCAATGGGATTTATAGAGGTGTTGACTCACCACTGATTCAGTGGCCCCATTCTAGTTATGACTTACTCAGCTAAGCAGCAGGATTTCAGCCACTGTGTAAGCACTGGACAGTCTTGACAACTCAGTATGAGAGCAATGCTGGCTGGGGGATTCTGGCAGTTGTGGTCCTGAAAAGTAACTTTCCTGAATTCTGTCCGTTACTCAAAACCTTTGAAATGGGTTTGGGCGATAGTGTTTTGGAAATGCCTGCCCACTCATACCCGATGGTCTTCTGCTTGATTTGCTGTTGTAGGACTATGGCTTCCACTACATTCCGAGTATTGAGTTGCAAATTCATGTGCTATGTATCCTGCTGGGCTTCAGAATTTCAATTAGACCAGGCTGGTCACAATGAGCAACTCGTTAAATGGGGGCATGTTTTGGCTTATTATTGTGACATAGTCAGATAGGAACAATCTGGACCCATTTGGGTTTTCACTGGGACACTAATAAGAGCAAAGGAAGGTAGAGGTCTTTCATAGATGTGGGAAGCCCACAGGTCAGAATGGGACAGGCTACTGTTGTTGTGTGACCATAACTTGCCTTTTCTGTGCATATTTCCAGAAGATATCTGGGCTCAAAGAATACATGGTTTGGAAGTGCATCTTTTGGGTGTAAGATGAGATATTTTTACATATAGATAATTTATGAGGCATGTAGGTTTGTTTGACACATAATCACAAATGCTTACAGGCATTACTGGTCCCTTGGAAAGATGTTAAAAATAATTAGGGGGATAAATTAGGCCAACAGAGTGTAATTAGAAAGCTGGAAGACATTCCAAAGCACAATAATTCATGGATTACAGGGCTGCTGAAGAGGTGGGCGGGGGGGGGGAGATGTAAAAATAAAGAAAGGTTTTGGCACTATGGTGCCTCTTACTGTAGATTTTGTAAATCTGGGATCATTAAAAAAAATACTTACAGGCATTACTGGTCCCTTGGAAAGATGTTAAAAATAATTAGGGGGATAAATTAGGCCAACAGAGTGTAATTAGAAAGCTGGAAGACATTCCAAAGCACAATAATTCATGGATTACAGGGCTGCTGAAGAGGTGGGCAGGGGGGAGGAGGTGTAAAAATAAAGAAAGGTTTTGGCATTATGGTGCCTCTTACTGTAGATTTTGGGAATCTGGGATCATTAAAAAAATGCATGTCCAGTATGTTCTGCTTGTATAGAACCATGGGTGTTCTGAAATACAAAATAAATGAAAATCCAGAATAATTCACATGAGCTATGATGGCAAACCCTACACCACCCCCATCTCACTGGAGTTCTCCATACACAGGTGCAGGCTATGTCATGTTTATGTACTAATATATATGCATATAGAGGCAGTAGTACAAACAAGAGAAACAACTAACAAATAACTTTTTGATAAATCTGTTTTTATGCACAGTAATTACTATTATTAGATAGCCAGTGTGGTGTAGTGGATATAAGTAATGGTGTGAGACTCAGGAATCCTGGGTTCAAATCCCCTCTTAGCCATGGAAACTGAAGGTATGGCACTGCTAAAACCTTTTATATAAAATACCTTTTATATATCTCAGTGTTAGGGTTGCTATAAGTTAGTTATGTCTCGAAGGCAAATAACAACAACAATTGCTCGCTCTCTCTCTCCAGACACACCAAGCATGACTGCTGTTTTACTTTCCCATTCTTCTCCTATTCACTTTCAGCCATGACGAACAGCCAAAAGGTGGTAGAAAGTTCAAATGCTGAAACAAAGGTTCGCAGCCGTCCTGCACACAATACAGACGCCTTCAGTAGCCTTGGCATTGGTGAAGGAAGGACATTGTGGACAATCGCCAACAGCGTTCCTGCTTCTACAGCTGTAACAGGAAGCTCTCCATCTCATACTAAAAGGATTGGATCTAGACATCTTGCACACGCTTCATCTCCAGCGATGAGGACCAGAAAAGGGAATGCAGCCTCAGCAAGTACTGTGGATATGGCTGCACTTGAAACTGGGACTTTGAGCAGAAGTTCTCCTAAAATGTCCATTGGTTCACTTTCAGAGAGTAATCATTTAGGTAAGTTTCACTATCAAAAGTATCTGGGTAGGTGGTTAAAGGCTGAGGTAACAGTTGAATGGAGCAAAGCTTTCTACCTGTGTAAGAATAAGGGGAAGATTGAAAAGACAAAGAAAGGTGTGGTCTCCCTTTGTTAACTACTGGCATCCAAACATAATGTAAAGCGGTTTGATCATTTTTATCAATGGTTACACTTCACATTTTTATTGTTAACCCGATTGAAAAAAACTGGGTATAAAAATAAACAAAAACCCCCCACCTCTCAACAGAATCCAAGTTTTGCTATTTCCAAGGAAAGATTTAAATAAATAAATTCTTCATACTGAAGAAAGCTGAATTCTGCAAACTGTATAAAGGTAAAAGTTCCCCTTGATATTTAGTCCAGTCGTGTTTGACTCTAGGGCATGGTGCTCATCCCCATTTCCAAGCGATAGTGCCAGTGTTTGTCTGAAGACAATCTTCCGTGGTCACGTGGCCAGCGTGACTAGACACGGAATGCCATTACCTTCCCACCGAAGTGGTACCTATTTATCTACTCACATTTTTACATGCTTTTAAACTGCTAGTTTGGCAGGAGCTGGGCCAAGCGATGGGAGCTCACTTCATTGCATGAATCTGATTTTATGACTGCTGGTCTTCTGACCTTGCAGCACAGAGGCTTCTGCGGTTTAACCTGCAGTGCCACCCGGTCCCTGGCAAACTGTATATATTTTTGTATATCAGCATTCTGTATTTGTTACATAATTAACCTTATTGTTGCTTTTCATGGTGTGTAAACAATGAGCCCTAACACCAAATAATGGAAATCCTGTTCCGCTGCCATGTTTTCTTAGAAATCTTCTAAACCTATTTTTTACATTCTTAAGGCCTATTAACATGTTTTATTAAAAGTTCTGAAAACACATTCACAGGATGTTGAATTCTGTACCCAAAACTAAGGTCCAATAATTGCAGGCTGCAGTAGTGGAATATATATAAGCATGTTTTTAGGGATTACAGGTGAGACAGATGTAAAGGTCTCTCTCAACAGTATTTTGGAACCAAAAGTTGCAGTCACAGTAGGTTGCAGTTTTGAATGGAGAGAGGGTAGAAGAGGAGCTATTTGACCCCATTCTTTTCAGCTTTCTGCTCAGAATATATACCCAAAGGGGAACTGTGTACCAACAACAATATGGAGCAAGACTATTTTGATCAGAAAATCACAGAACAGAACACGATGAAACTGCTTAGCTGTTCTTCCACTCAGGATTCTAGTACTGTATATTGAGTGTGCTTTTTATTTTTATTTTTTTAAAATCTGCAGACTATCACATATGTAATTGCTACTTTGCATTCAGGTATAATGCAGATGTGACAAATCCTTGACATTAGATAGAACCAGTTATATATCAAGACTTCAGATTGATGGGACCTGTTTTGAGCACCTCAACTTATTATAGTCTGATGGGATGTTGTTGTCTTCTTTCACATTTCAGCCACAAAATCCTTGACATTAGATAGAACCAGTTATATATCAGATTGATGGGACCTGTTTTGAGCACCTCAACTTATTATAGTCTGATGGGATGTTGTCTTCTTTCACATTTCAGCCACGGAGAACAGCTACCATACAGACAGCAGCTGGAATGCAGGCATCACAACATCCAACTTCCATAGTGAAAGCAGGGGCAGTTCAACAGAAACAAAGAGAGATGCAGAAAGGACTTCTCTGTTTCTTCCAGAGGGTGTCACATTGACTGATTCAACAAGGAGAAATTCAATTTCTGGCAGTCAAGCTATCACCTCTTTTGATCAAGTCCACTCATCGTCTCGTGCAATACATTCAAGAGGAATCGGCGGCACGTCAGATGTCACATCACTTCCTGATTCTTCAGTGGGGACTGTGCTTACCCATTCCTACTTTTCTCTGAAGACTAGTATGTTTTCCCCTGCTCTATAAAATCATTTCCTTATTAACTGCACACAAAGAAGCAATAGTAATGTGTGTAGCCATTTTAGAACTGGTTAAAGAGTAGTTGCACATTAAATTGTGAGCCTGGAGAGCCTTGGTTTCAAGCCACCAAGTCACTTGCTAGTGGTAGGAAAACCAGTGTTTCTCTGTGCCAGCCCCCTTGCAGCTGAAATAGGACGACAACAGCATTCTCTCTTGCAAGTCGTTTGCAAGAAATATTGGAATGCTCTAAGGTCCTGTAAAAAATACAAAGCGTTGAAATGGATGAAATTTTGTGTCTTGGTTTCCAGAAGCACTCTCAAATGTGATGACGCACCACATTGATTAGAGGAGTAGAGACTTGACACTTTGGGCAAAATCCTGTTGTATAATTTTGCACTGGTGTAACCTGGATTGGGTGCTGGAAACACTTAAATTTGTGGGAAGTGTCTCCCCACCCCCCTCTCAAGTTCTGAAGCTCCCTTTTGCTGCCAGATCACTACTGGTGGTCCCAATACCAGTAACAACAATTCAGCAGCATTTTTTAAACTATTAATGGCTCCAACACGCACACACACATTCTGAGGTTCCCAAGGTCTTCCTCGGGGAAAAGAGGAGTCCTGAGCAGCCTCAGAATCTGAAAAGGGGAGATAGGAAATATACCATGAGTTTACATTAAACATTTCCAGTGCCCACTCCAGGTTATATCAGCACAAAGTTATGCAACAGGATTTTACCCCCTGTTGAGCTAACTCAGCAGAAACTGTATGAATAACCGATGTGAGGCAAAAGCATTTCCAAGGTAGGATTAGATTAGAACTCCATTCTGCCCATTGATGGTAACTGGAAAAATGCCTGACAAAGCAGGATATGATCCTAGCATGTGATATCTCTTTCCTTTTGTTAATCATCACCATGAACGATATCCTGGTAATAAAAATGGATGTTTCACTTTTGGGGATCAAGGCTATCACCACTGAAAGGGCTGAGCAGAACCCCCGTGCTGTTGCCAGTTAGAAAAGGAGACAAAGCTGTGCAGAAGGAACTTTGTCAGATGCAGCTTGTCATAAGAAAAACAGTCCCACGCCTACAGCAATTCTGTCATTCTTTCTATCTGGTTCCCCATCTGTCTATTGATAATACAGGAATAATACTTTACTTGTATTGCTTGAGGCCTTCAAAAATTAGTCAACAAAGACATTCTGAGATCTAGAAACTCAGAAAAATGTTCACAGATAGCTGTCAGGTTTTAAACAATCAAATGGGGACAGGCTTTGCAGAAAAGAAATGTGCATTTTGCCAGAGTGGTAGGCATTTATGGTGAGAAGTAGTTTGGGTAAACAGAAGTATTTATGAATAAAGAGCTGCAGGTGCCATTTCTGCATAAATAATGCAAACAATCAAAGACCAGTATCTTTATTAGGGGCAGGTTAACAGTAGTGATTCTAAAGAGATCCTCCTTTCTCTGGTGACGATTTTGCAGAAAAAGGAAAATGTACCTTCTACAGGCAAGAGGAAGTCTTTGAATTGTGAGAGGGAAGAACTCACTAGGAGTTTATAGACTGATTGTGTGTGTGCTGAAACTGAGGGGATCTCCCTTCCTCAGTCTGAGTCTTCCATGATATTAGAAACTACAGGGGCATTCAGAGTGATCCATGGATATGTGTATACTATTAACAATAAGTGGTTTTGAGATAAATCCAGTTGTTAATTACAACTTGAGTATACCTGTTGGAAATCCTGTTGTACTATGGAAAGCCTATTACTGTAAATCAGTGGGGATTTGGGGGGTCAACACCTTCGTAAGTTCCAGTTATTCAAACAGGTGTATTCTGATTGTAACTTACTATACCAAATAAAGTTGCAGGAGAGTAGCCCCATTTGAATCAATGGAACACGTGGAGGATTTGACTTGCCAAACAGAATTTCAGCCGATAAATTTTACATACATGCTGATTTAACACATCTTATTCAGTCATTCAGGCTTCTCTAGTTGGGATTGACAATTGGATTTATCCTATTAGTTTTTAGCCACAATAATGTGTTTGTTTTAAACATTGCATTGTTTTTATTAGTCTAAGATTTATGGGGCTTAATTTTGCCCTTGGGTTGAATATAAATGTAATTAATGCAATGGGGGGGGGGAAGAAATATATGATGAAGCAGAACAAGCGAAACTAAATGCTGCTCCTTTTCTCATAAGCTGCTCTCTGTTTCTGAAATATGCCAGAGGAACTTGGTAGTGGGAAAGCAGAAGGCAACTTTATTTGATAAGATTCACAAGGACTGTTAATATATCTGTCAGTTCCCTTTTCTCTATTTTGTCTGCCTCCCTGGTTCATCTGTGTTCTCTGTTTATTCACTCCTTCTGTTCCTGATTTAACTAGAGTAGGGTTGCCAGGCCACAACCTGGAAAGTATGCATATATTCCACAATTCCACTTGCTTTCAAAATTTATTTTGTCTCTTGAACTGGCACCTTTGATTCATTTACTTTTTGGTAGTGTCTATGCTAGGACTGTAGCCAAATTTGAGGGATTCCTCAGTAAAGTGTTCTTAGATACCCCCTCCCCCTTTATGGCTGGTCAGTTCCCTCCTCCATTTTAATTACCTGTGATGCTCACAAGTAGTATATTAGTATTATGGCAGGAAATTGAAAAGGCAGTTTTGACGAGGCACAAGACATTATGCTGGTTGAGAAAAAGGAAGTGGTGTCTTCACTCCATGTATAGAAAGCAACTGGGCTGACTATTATCAGTAGAATTATAGTGATACAAAAATAATGTTAATGCTATTACTACTGTTGTTATTAATTCCTTTCATACCCAGCTTTATGCACAGAAGCTCCAAACAGCTAACAATTCACATTAAAATGCAGTTAAGGTTACAAATTACAAAAAGGAGATTGTAATTAAACACTGGCAATGGAACCATGCATGAAGGCAGCTGGCCAAGTTCAGATGATAGAGGACAAGCTATGTAGCACACACCACTGTTTCCTTCAGCAGAAGAGGAAGGAAGGATAGGAGACTCAGGAGGAATAGCTAGGGTGTTGCTATTGCTAGCCCCAGCTCTTGCTCCTTAGCCAGAATGGCAGTCTCCCAGCTGCTGCCTAAGCCTCTGTTGCCTCAGATGATTTATTTAACAGTGGCAAATCACCACTGTCACTTTCAAGTAAATCCACAGGTAGGGTCTGTTGCCCCAATAGCCTTGGCAGGGTATTGGGGCTCCAAAAATCTTCCCCAGCATTCAATATTCCTTCCACTCCCATCTTTCTATTTTACTCCAGCTGTACCACTGATTTGTCCAGAGCGGACATGCAAAACATTGCTACTATTCAGTTCTCTTGTATCTGTGCTGTGGAGCATTTCCTCTTGAAGGTTTAGCCCTTTTTATTGCTTCCTTTTGTTCTGGGCTGAGGGATTAATGTTGAATAGTCTTTGATTTGCCTGTCGAATAACTTCTACTGGGGCCAGTCCAAGACATTTGCTGCTAAGGCCAAGGCATCTTCTTACAATGCTGACAGGATAGTATCTTCCACGACACCTGAGGGAAGCAGGCTGGCTTAGTGAGTACAAGGTACATTATCCAGAGCACACACCTTTGTGTTTTAGGACAGTGGTCCTCAATCTTGGGCCTCCAAATGTTCTTGGACTACAGCTCCCAGAAGCTTTCACCACCACCTCTGCTGGCCAGGATTTCTGGGAGTTGAAGTCCAAGAACATCTGGAGGCCCAAGGTTGGGGACCACTGCTTTAGGAGGTTGCTCCCTGGGTCTCTCCATACCATTCAGCATCTGCCACCTGAGAGAACTACCTCACTTTTCTTGATGGTAGGGGTATTCTAAGACTTTCTGAATCACCCCTATGCATGTATGCAGGCATGTGTGCACATTTATTTATTTATTTATTTATTTATTTATTTATTTATTTATTTATTTATTTATTTATTTATTTATTTATTTATTTCCCT